ACCCATGATTTAATTTAGTGAACATGTATAAGACGTGGCTTGTCCGAAACACTTTCAGTCTTCATGTAGTCTTGTTCCCATCTATATCGACTTAAATACTCAATTCATACTTTTAACGGGGTGATTTTTGCAAAAATCATCTGGATCTGTTTCCTCAGGATCTTATCTAGTCGTCTTTGTACGTAATACTAAGAGGTTATGTACTTCCAATGGTGCAGGATTAAGATGCCTGATACCTATGTTGTGCATCTTGGCAATAGCAAAGACTTGATGGAAGTGGCTGAAAACAGTGTGGCGAGAAGGGTTCTTAGAGAGCATATTAGAGAATTACTTGGAGTCCGAAAAGATGATCTTCTGTTTGCCATTATAAATAGTACGATTTACTCTCCATTTATGTACTTGTCTTTTACTTATGTAGTTCTAATATATATATGGTCGTGTGAAGAAAAAGAAATACCATGAACCTTTTGATATGTGAAGCTATTGTTTACTATCCCGTTTCAATTAGTACAAGAAAGCAAATTACTGCATTTGTGAGAAGCACTTCCATAGTGGAGTCATAGGTGACTGGATGGTAAAATGTTTTGCTGGTCTGTTTCTGCAGTTTCTATGTAAACAATAATGTATGATACTTACTGGAAAAGAAGAGTGTGATGTGTCTAAAAAACTAGAACTTTGTTTAGGTTCCTGCTTCTCAGATTTCTGATTTCTATACGACAAAAGTTTTGGGAGNTTAAAACTTCCTGAATAGTCCTGCTTCTCATATTCTGGTTGATATATGACCAAAAATTTTTAGAGGCAAATATACCACGAAACCTATCCAATTTCAGCTAATGGGAGAAAAAAATGTATTACTTTTACTTTTAAGTTGCTAATATCTCATGCTTCTTCATTGATTTATTTCCTGACATTCTACAGAGTGGTGGTGTTCACCACCTGTGTCAAATTTAAGAATCAAGAATGCACAATAATATGCTACTTGCGGTTTCACTGAGATGACAGTTTCTTACTCTAAATGCTGCATAATATTTAGGTGTTTCCCGAGGGAAAGGTCAGGATCTATTTCTCAAAGCTTTCAATGAAGCTCTGCAGCTCCACCAAGAGAGGAAACTGAAAGTGCCACCAATGCATGCGGTTGTAGTGGGGAGTGACATGGGTGGCCAGACAAAATTTGAAACAGAATTACGTAAATTTGTTGATGAAAAGAAAATTCAGGACAGCGTGCGCTTTGTGAACAAAACATTGAATGTAGCTCCTTATCTGGCTTCCATTGATGTTCTTGTTCAAAACTCTCAGGTGATTCTTATTTTCATGTATTCCCTCATCACTCGGATATTGATAAGAGCTTTCCGGATTTATTTCTATACTGTATAATCTATTTTCACGTTAATAGTGATAGTAATTTTGGGAGAGGTAAGTACTAGATAAAAATACCTTTTGATGCTTTATGGGTATAAGTTTGTATTCCAAATAACAACTAAAAAATAACAGTATCAGTGACTGCTGTTTTTGGAAATACTTTCCACTTGCATGCATAGGTGAGTCTGATTACTGTTTGCTGTACTGAAAAGGGGGATCGTATTTCTTGTAATCCAGGCACGTGGAGAGTGTTTTGGGAGAATAACCATTGAAGCTATGGCGTTCCAGCTTCCTGTATTGGTAGGATTCATAATCTTATTTTCCTCTCCTGATATTTTATGCATTATACAGCTTTTGGGTATCTTGGAGTGTGCTCATGTAGAATCGTCAATGTTTAAACTTGCCATTTTGTAAGATTTCTTAAATTCATGTGAAGTCATCTACATGGCAATTATTTCGGGAATTGTATTAAACAATCAAACTTGCATATGCTTGTCCACTAACCAACTCTCTACTTTTTGGTTAATGGACTCCATTTGGATTGTCGTCATCTATGCACGTGACTAAGCATTTTTATAAATCATATTCTTTAGGGCACAGCTGCCGGGGGCACAACTGAGATTGTAGTAAATGGCACCACAGGCTGGTTGCATCCAGCTGGCAAAGAAGGCGTAACAGCTCTTGCAGAAAACATCATTCGACTGGCTAAAGACTCCGAGATGAGAAAGAGAATGGGGTTGAAGGGCTATGATCGGGTCAAGGAAATGTTCTTAGAACACCACATGTCGCATAGAATATCCTCAGTTTTGAAGGAGGTTTTACGAAAGGCAAAGAGAGGGTGATTAATTCGAAATGGAATTTTCCAGGTTATTGAATCATTTTTCATACTTCGATATATATTTTCTTTTTCTTTTGGCTTTTGTATTTTGTTGGATGAGTATATGTAGATGTTATAGTGTAGGGTCCAGTGGCATTCGTCATTTTTGCATTTTATCGTATGATAAAACTGCTCTGCTTTAGTTTATCAGTTGGTGGCTCCTTTGAATTTTGAAGGAGACTTTTGTCTGCTTCAATGGTTGCACAAAAATTGGCAAAGATTATGTATCTTCTGGATTTTTTCAATTTCTGTCATGCATCTCTTTCTTAATGGCGGTTGAATTCCCATATAACTTACAATACTATTTATAAAAAATATTGCATTACCAATTCTCATGAATTTGGATTTGATGTTTATTTCCTTCACTCTATTTCATTCTAGGTTAAACATAAGAATTGTTGTTAGCTGACCTAACGAGTCAAAACTGGGTAAATAGGGCGGCTTTACCGAACTTTTTAAATAATATAATAATATATACTTTTTACTAAATAATACTATCTCCTTTTTAAATTAGATGTCGTTTTGACTTTTTTGATTCATCCATTTTGTTAATGTCTAGATACGTAACAAAATGGATGAATCAAAAAAGTCAAAACGACATCTAATTTAAAAAAGAGGGAGTATAATAATATATACTTTTTACTGTGAAATGGAAGTATTCATTTTTTTTGAAATGATTAAATTTATATAGAAAACACTCAAAAGTCAAAAGTACACGGAGATGTTCAAGTGAACACAAACCTTCTACACCCGCCGGGGAAATAACAACCTACTCCCCCTCAAGGCTCATGGCCAGACAACTACCAATTGAATAGAAGACTATCTATTTAATTGCCACATACGCTACAATTCATATTAATAGTTGGAGATGCTCTAAGGAAGGAGAAGAAAACATGAGAATACAAGCAGAAAAAAAGGAGAAGAAAACATGAGAATACAAGCAGAAAAAAAAAAAACAACGTAAAAGACAACACATCCTCCAAAACATTTTTCAGAGAATACTCAATGCCAGATGATCCACTTTTCCTTCATTCAGTCCAGCCACCAAGCTCTTGGACCAACTAATCTGTTCCTATAAATACTTTAAGTGAGTGGCTTAAGTAGTTTAAAAAGAAAAGTAGTTCCGCAAAGTTTTAGAAGAAGTGGTTTCACCGTAGTACCCTGGAAGAGTTTAGAAGTTAAATGTATTGAAAAGTTCAAATTTATTCTGAAAACTTAGGATTTTCTGAAAGATAAGTAAGAAGGCGCTATATAGTGGTATCAGAGCCGGTCAACAGTTCTGTAGACTTAAAAATTTTTAAAGTTAAAAAAGTTTTGAAAAATTTTGACGGAATTGGGGGAGCGAGGCGAATTGACGAAGACCCTTGAAGCGGGATGATTTTGTACAGGGTAATTTTCGTTTTGCCGATAACTTCCTGTAGTTTGTTAATTTTATTTTTTCAAACTATTCTTTAAAAATCGCACAACATTAAATGTTACCTTAAATTTAGGGCTTTAGTTCATTTTATTATTTAAAAAATTCGGCTAAGATTTATTAAGTGTGTATGTTTTTATTTTTATTTTTTTTAGAAACAACGAACAACATTAAAATCTCGGTCTCTATATTTATAAAATCTCACTTCAAAATATAACAAAAGTTTTAGAATCTCGGTCTTTATATTTGTGCCTTTAAAAAAAATATCGAACGCTAAAAATATTATTTAAATTGCATAATCAATCAATTGATCTTAATGTTTTGAAAATTACTATGTTTATTTTTTATTTATATGCATAAAGTAAAAATAATTAATTCATCTTTAGATGTATAATTTATAATCTTAATATACTATCAGTTGGTGTAGACATTTATTATATGAATCATAAAATATTTTTATTTCATAAAATTAAATATATTAGAAAAATAAAAAAAATTCTTCGGATCAATCGGGTGATTGAATTAGTGTACTACTCAGGTTGATTGAATTAATTTTAGGTAATATTTAAAATAGTTTAAAAACTTGACACAACTTGGTTGGTCCTAGATGACTAAGTTATGTATCAGTTCGACCACATCAAATCGATTATTGAACCTAAACATAAATTTTATATTGAAAATATTTTATTACGTGAATGTGATGTAGTCCAAACTTCAAATAATCGTATTAACAATACTTTTATGACAACATGTTTAATGATTTATGAATATTGATATATCATTTTATTAATATTTATGTGAATTAAATAATATTTTATTGTAGTATTTCTTAATGTATGGTAAATATAAGGTTTTCAGAACTAGACCGTCATCGAAACGATGAAGCTATTTTATTAAATCATTTGTGGTTTGTTCATATTTTAATTTATAAACATTTTAATAGATATTCATATATATATATAGAGAGAAAGGATCATATGAGATTGACTTTTAATGCGAGAAATGAGAATGAGTCTGGACCATTGGATCAATGATATTAATGAACATGATGAAGTCAAACAGTAATAATTCTGGTCAAAACACAATGGCATAGTTGTAAATATATACACATTTCATGGTCAAATGGAGACCTCATAGGGCACTTTTGTAATTTCAGTTTTACATAAGTAAGTGGGCCACACCACTAACCTATCCTCTCCCCACTCACACACACAATTACACACACAAGATCTGTTTTCGTTTCATGACTTACACAGTTCACACACACACACACGCACGCACAACCGGCGGCACCACAGCGCACACCATCGCCCGTCGCCTACGTCCGACCCGTCGCCACCATCCCCAACCACCGTCACCGATCGGCCGTCGCGTACGTCTAACTCGCCGTCGCAGATCCCAATCTCAGCCGCCGCGACTCCCCATCCCAGCCACCGCGGCTCCCCATCCCAGCCACCGCGCCACCCAGCCCAATCGCCGCCGTCAAATCAACAATCCGGACTGACAGAGACGAGGCAGCGAGCCGGCGGACGAAGGCTATGCAAGGCGGCTCCCCACCCCCGCCACCGTTACCGGCCCCGACGTCCGTCACGCCTCAAACTTCCATCGCCGTTCGACGCGCCACAGATTGGTATACCCATTCGAAATATCTCCGACGACCGTCCAGATCCAGTTATCTGTCACCATCACCCACCGCACTTCAGCCCACCCCCGCCGCTCGCTGCGCCACAGAAGACGTCCAGAACAATATATTCTCCGGCGATTTGTGACGATTTAGAAGATGGACTTTGAGAACGCCGCCGTCCGGAGGAGAATCGATTTGTGGGCTGAGATTTTCTGATTTGCAGATTGATTTTTGGATTGTGGGGCTTTAGTTGGAGAATTTGATATGTTTGAGGGGTCAAATTGCAATTTTTTAAGTTTTAATGTATTTCAATTTGGTACATGTGGCAAATTGGTGATTTAACAAAAGTTCTATGGGCTGAATGAAAATTGTATTATTTCTAATATATTACGATTTGATTCACGGGTCATATTCGTAATTAATCAAAATATAATTAGTATTTTAATACTTTTATATTTTCATTGTTGAAACTAACTATATTTTTATAGAAAAATGAAAATAACAATAATATGTTTATATAATTTAGACATTTGGTTAGTTTGACTATTTAATTAATAAAAAAAAATTAACATAAAATTGAATTCAAGTATTTTTAAAAGTAACAAAAATAAAAATAGTCGAACCGAAAATTTTATAAAGTGCACCGTGTTGTTTTATAAAGTGCAACATGTTGTGTTATAAAGTGCAACGTGATATTTTATAAGGTGCGCGTGCTGTTATATAAAATGCAATACTTTATATAATCTCATATAAATTATGTGTTCGAAACTAGTTTTAGTAGATATAATTGTACATCAAATTAACCAAAATAATATAAAATAATTTTTATTTATAATTATAAAAGTATATTTAGTATTTTTGATATATTTTTATCTTGAAAACAATATTGACGTTAATTGTGGAGTGTGATGATAAAGTGCACCGTGTTGTTTTATAAAGTGCAACATGTTGTGTTATAAAGTGCAACATGGTGTTTTATAAAGTGCGCGTGTTGTTATATAAAATACAATACTTTATATAATCTCATAAAAATTATGTGTATTTGAAAACTAGTTTTAGTAGGTATAATCATCGAGTTAACCGAAATAGTTTAAAATATTTTATTATTTATTATTATAGAAGTATATTTAGTATTTTTAATATACTTTTATATTCTTTTCTGGTAAATTTAGTGATTACTAGACCCCGAATACGTCCGAAATTTTCCATGTTATAGTACATTGTTTAACTAATTGCTAACTTAGTAACTTCCAAATGATACTGATTAAAAGAAAAATATATATTGGTCTTTAAAGGCAACACACTTTTTCTCATATCAAATTTGGCTGAATTAATTATATATAAATATAATGTGCAACGTGTTGTTTTATAAATTGCAACGTGCTGTTTTATAATGTGCAACGTGCTGATATATACAGTGCACTGCTTTATATAGTCACGTATAAATTATCTGTTTTTTGAAAACTTATTTTAGTAGATATAATTGTACATTAAATTAACTTTATTTAAATGAGTTATTATTTAATGAGGGAAGATGGTGGATAATAGAAATTAAAGAAAAATAAATTAAAATGCAAATGCACTGTTTGCGATAAAGTGCAGTAGAACGTGAACTAAAGTGCGACTTGTATAACAATATGGTGCAGTATGTATAATGCTATTTTTAATGTGCAAATCCGAACTCGATGAGGTGCGAATCCGAACGCGATGAGGTGCATTGCACATAACATAGTTGTGCAACTATCACCATATTCTTATTGATTTACAAATTTAACCTATCAACCAATATATTTCAAATTTTTTAATTTACAATTAAGTCCCTTGATTATATCTAATTTTCAAAAATTAGTCCTATCCCTACAATTTCCAAATCCCTAATTCTTGTGCAGTTTGTTTCCATTCTCTGGCCTAGGCTGACGGCGCCGGTGTCGGGACGGTGGATACGGCTGCGGGAGGGGCGGCGACGGCGGCTGAGAGGGCGGAGATAGCCGCCTCGCCGGACACGAGATCTGGATGGCGGCGGCAGCGGGGTGAGCAGCGTCGGAATTTGACGTGGCGGCTGAGGAGGAAGATGACAGTTGCGGCGGCGAGATTTTGACGGCGGCCACGAGCACCGACGAGGAGTGGTCACCCCGCCATGTCAGACGACGAGATGGTCGTCGAGCTACTGGTGAGACTTCACCTTGCGACGCCACCTCTGCTCGAGCGGGTCGGGATGATGACGGAGACGGCGGGACTTGCGCGGCGGACCTGTGCGACGGTCGGTTCTGGTTTAGCAACACCGGACGGTGTTCCAGCCTCCTTGACGGAAGTGGTACGGTCCGGCAGAGCTTGTGCGGCGGCCATCGGTGAAAACGGAAGCGGATGACGGCGCATTCGGGGAGGATGAATCGCTCCCGAAAAGGAATCTATTGATTCTCTTCCAATTAGTTGGACCGTTGGTGCGATGATTTACTTCACGGGCGAGGTCTCTGGTTCAAGTCCAGGATGGCCCAGCTGCGCCAGGGAAAAGAATAGAAGAAGCATCTCTAATAAGTTTTTTGTCTCACCCTCTTTTATTTTTTTTTTTTTTATAGATTTTTTATTTATTTCGATTTCATTTTTTAATTGCCTTCTATCAAAATAGGATTCTGCTTAATTGGATTCACTCGACAGAATCCAATTCAAATGGGGTTTCGAAACAGAACTTCTTTTGATTCTTCGGCGGTACTAAATTTAGTTATGAAATCGCATTGACNAATTTAAATAAAATGTGTTACTTAGATATCTCAACAATTTATAAATTCAAATGTTTAAACTAATTGATAAATAATTTATAAATCTTTATTTTATTTAAAATAATTTTAAATATAACAAAATTTATTTAGAAAATTGTATCGATCCTACCAGTCCAACTGACTGGTGTTGACAGATTCGAGAGCAAATATTATTCAAGCGAACTAGACTGGTTATAAACCGGTCCTCGGTCCATCCGGTCTGACTGTGTCCAACCCGGTTTAATTTAAAAATAATGGATAAATCATGATTAATGTTATTTATATATTTAATTTATAATACAATCATAATATTATTTTCTCGTGTATCGCACGGGCCATACACTAGTTTATTTAGAATGTCTTTGCCAATTTTCAAATTCTATGCCTATGATCATTTTTTATGGATTTTAGCCCGAAAAAAGACTTGCGTCAAGCCTGGACCTACTGGGTCAAAAAATGACGCCGGCCCAGAATCGGGTTTTGACCATATCTATTGGACGCAGTGTTTTTGTGGGTGTGAAAAAGCAACCCATAAAGTTCATGAGTATCCAAAAACAAATCTGGGAACTTAAAAAGAGAGAGAGAGAGAGAGAAAACATAGAAAGAAGTCTTTGCTTGAAGCTGCAACTTGGAATATTGGAGCAACCACTGAGTACAAATGATGTGTGTATTTTGAACTTTGACCAATTTGCTCGAATGATGTTACTCTCAGTGGTTTTCTAAAGTTTTATTGTCACAAGTCATTTTCAGATTTTTTTTTTCTCATATATCCAACTTGCAGGAGTTCTTTTTTTCTTTTATGCAATTAATGTCCCAATCAAACATTTGTCCAAGATTGTAATATCTCTCAAACGATTTGAATCAGGTCAAAGAAGGTCTAGAAAACAATAGATCGTCATAACTGATCTATAAGAAAGTAACTCACTCTTCAAACGCTTTAGCAGCATGATGCCTATGGTTATAACTCCATATATGTAAATTATCTCCAATAGTAGAAAACAACAATACAAGCCTTTTTTTCATGTGTCTCAACTCTCAAGTACCAAAATACCACCTTGCAACAAAAGTTCATTCATTCATACAGCAACAACAAACAGCTATTGTACATACATTACCATGTTCATCTCATAAAACAAACACCAACAACCTATGTACAAATTAGAACCCTACAAGGCACTCTCGTCATAAAAAAAAAAAAAGAAAAAAAAGCTCAAGCCCATTCTTTTCTTCATAAAACCAAAAAACCAAATAGTCCCACATCAGCCTCACAAACATCTAAACCATCCCTTCTCAAATCTTATTCAAACACCAAACAAGTAAAAAACAACCATTTTTCGAATACCCCAAACGCTAAACCCGCACGCCGAATCCCAACTCCCCATCCCCAGCCTCCGGATGATAATGCATAATCTCCTGCCACATCATCTCCCGAATCATCTCCTCCCCCAAATCTTCATCAATATCCAAATTAATCGGCAAATGAGCCAACGGATCACACCTCGGATCATACAAAGGCGACATGTACGGATGCTCGAGCGCCTCACTCACACTAATCCTCTTCGAAGGATCGAAAACGAGCATTTTCTGCAACAAATCAATCGCCAGAGGATGCGCGTGCGGATAGAGCCTCGAAAATGGGGTCCCAAATGAAAAAGGCAGAGTCTTTATGTATTTTCGAGCTTTTGGGTTATCGATAAACTGCAAATCTTCTTCACGTTGGCTGCCCAAAATGTTTACTATGAGTTTGAGCTGGTTCAGGCACTCTGTGCCGGGGAAAATGGGCTTTCGGCCCAAAAGCTCGGCAAATATGCAGCCCACGGACCAGATATCGATTGAAGTGCCGTATTTATCACAGCATAGGAGGAGTTCGGGGGCCCGATACCATCTGGTGACTACGTACTCAGTCATGAATTGGCCTTTGCCGCTGTTGGTTCGGGCCAGCCCAAAGTCACAGATTTTGAGGTCGCAGTTTGCGTTTATGAGGAGATTGCCGGGCTTGAGGTCTCGGTGGAGGATGTTTGCGGAATGGAGATACTTGAGGCCTCTCAGCAACTATTGATGACAATAAGATATGTTAGAAATAGTCAATTTTATTTTTTTTTAGAGAAATATAGTGTGGATACATGTTGAATTGAGTAATTATGTTTGTATTGGATTTTTTGGTTGTTGTGTGTGAGAAAGGAATTGGAGAATATAATTGCTCGGAAGAAACTTGAGAAAAATTAAGAGTTGTCAAGGTATGTATTAAGGTAAAAGTGGTAGAATCAGGACTCAACAGAGAACATGGAAGTTATGGGACATTGATAAAGCATTCTAAAGTAATTGGAGACGAACAATGAAATGCAGAGAAGAAAAAAAAGAAAAAAGAAAAACACTGCATGTGTACTATATATAATTTAGAGGAAATGACATCGAACTTTTAGCTAGTAAGCAATAAAGCTTAAGAGAAACAATAACGAGTGCACAGAACTCGCAAAGCCTACTTGAAATATACAGATTTTTTACTTCTTACTACTTCACAGCAGCTAAAAATCCTTTCAACAGTTTATTTGTTTTAATCAGTTACTTCACATATTGAAAACAAATCCAAATTACAAAATTTCACTAACAAGCAGGTGCCAAAAAAGCTCCTTCAATGGCCCACATCATTTTTCTTCTTCCTTTTTACTGCACACATTATCCCACATCACAAATAAATAAACAAGATCACACCCTACTGACAATAACATCACCAATCAATACTTCATTATCTTGGAAACTAAAAAAATACAATCCACATACAAACTTTATATATGCCATCAAAGAAAAAGTTACCTGAAACAGGAAATACTGGCAGTGGTCATTCGTGAGTGTCTGAGACGACTTAATGATCTGGTGCAAGTCTGTATCCATAAGCTCGTAAACTAAGTACACGTCCTTAAAACTCCCCTTGTGATTAGGCAGCATTACATCTTTCAAAGCTATAACATTCTCGTGCTTAAGGTGCCTTAGAAGCTTCAACTCGCGTAGGGTTCTCAATGCATCAACTCTATTTTCAAAGGCATTGTGTATCTTCTTGATTGCAACCTTCTCACCAGTCTCCCTGTTGACTGACGAGCAAACTATCCCGTAGGCCCCACGTCCGATTGGTTTGATCGGCACATATTTTGTGTCGATTTCAAAAAGTGTTTGCCACATGGAGTAGTAATGCTTTCCATGGGATTGGATTCCGTTTGGAGGTTCAACTGGAGTTGCCATGCTATTTGAAACCATCATTTGAAAAAGATTAGAGTTTGAACAAAGGTTGCAAATTATGCCAAAGATCAACTTTTGAAATAAATTCTCACCAAATCTAACACAATTTTTTCTTTTATAGGGATGAGCATTTTCCCTTTCTAACTCAATCAATAACCAGTATGGAACTACAGAGATAACAGCTTTTGTCAGGAAATCCATGAACACATACAAGAAAGCATTGATGAATCTCTTATTCAGTAATTAAGATAACTTGAGGGATGTAACTTTGAGCTTCCAAGATAGAATCAGCTATACAAGATTTGGCCTCCTATACAAGATTTAGAGGCAAATGCTTTCACATTAAACTGCAATTCCCTCGTAATAAAAACCAATCTTGAATGAAATAGAACGACTGTTTGATCGAAAATCGGCAGGTACTAAAAAAACTCGATTGTAAATAAAGAACTTCGCGTAAAAAGATGGAATTTCCCGATTTGTTTCACCCAAAAAGCGTCAGTCAGGTACAATCACACACAAGCCACATAATTTCGCAGGGGAGACGAAAACCGAACACGAACAATCCCCAGNAAGCGAACAAAAAAAAAAAAAACAAAAATTAAGGTTAAAAAAGCCAGATAAAAATCAATACTTTTTCTACACAGAGATAGTTCTGAAATATCTTCAAATCGAGCTGTGAGCCTCAAAAATCTTCATTTCCCATCTCAAAATCAACCCTAAATCCGTCCATAAACCCCGTCTTAACCTGTTCTCAGTCCAGATTGCGTTATAATATCCGGCGAAATTCGCACAGAAAAAGGCGTAAATTCTCCGGAGCTTTGCTCGAGCTTCACTGAACTGGATCAAGAGGAGGATCTGCAGTAATAAATTTATCTCGTATTCCAGTAGATTTTTTCACTGAAAACGATAAATTATGGACAGCAATTATACAAGCGTCTGCATAAATATTTTTCCCATTTTTTTTCAAGGAAAAATATATTTTGGAGCAAATTTTTATGATTCGTTATGCCGTCGTAATCAAAAGAGAGTTGGGCTCACTTTATAAGAAAGTAAAATAACTCTTGCCAAGATTTCTACTATTATCTGTATCTTATAAGATGACATATTATTAATTACATTATTTGCATCCAACATATCAAGATATTGGCCTTTTAAATTCATTGAAATTCGTGCCCTTCTAAATTTCAAATCTTTGCGAAGATATTCTTTTTTACTTTTCCATAATTAAAATGTATTTTTAAGAAAGAAAAAATAATTTACAATTTTTGCATGCTTTTAAGTATAATGTATAGCTTTTCGAATAATGATTCAAACTTATACAACAAAAGCTTCACCATATGGATTGGAAATAAATTTATTATTATTATTAGTATATATAATGATAAGCTATCCATTTAATATATTTTTCCCACTCGATTTTTTACATTTAATTGTGGAAATCAACTGTTATATTTTACATTAAATAAATACTAATACGACACCCGTGTATTACACGAGTGTATGAAAAAATAATTTGAATAAAAGAAGAAAAAGAGTTTAGTTATTGTAAGTATATACGAAATGAATAAAAAGAAATTTCATACAAAAAAAATTACTATACATTTTTATTTTACTTCAAATTCGTAAAATTTCTTTGTACATAACATTATTAGTTCTATTTTAAATTTATCAACTTGGAAAAATAAGATAAGGGATAGTAATTAAGATAAAAGTTGAAATTGATGAGAATTAAGATAAGGAACATGTTTAGTTAAGATTTTTTTAATTATATTATCAATATAATTATAATATATAATTTTAGTTCATCATTATTCATTATGCAAACAAAGACACAAACTCCAAAATTGGCTAAAATTTATCAACTTGAAAAATAAAAAATATGATGAATGAGATAAATCCTTAGTAAAATGAAATAAGAAAAGAAAGATTTGTGTGATATTTAAATTCAAAGACAAATTTAGTAATGAAAGAAAGATTGATTGAAAATTATTTATGGTACTTTCTAAGCTAATTTTGTTTCTAAATTTTTTTTCCGAACCTAAATACAAAGCATAATATTGTGACATGTAGAATTTCCAAGCGTGCGAGCCTGCCACTTAGACTCAAAACGTTTTAAATTCATAGATAGGGGGATAATAATATTTTTTGTAACTATTATATTATTCTAGTTATCAGTAACAACATGGGTAACTTAAGAATTAAGAAAAAACAAAACAGATAAAATTTTCCAAAGCAATAAAATATTAATTTAATGTAAAAGTATGAGAAATATGATTGATAGTGGTATTGTGTAGTTAAAATTGTGTGAGTGAACGGATAGTGAATTAAAATTGATGTCATGAGAATAATTGATTAGTATTATTTAATAATATTGATAATAATGAGGTGGAGTTAGCCGTTAGTTGAGTTCAATTTGAATTAAAAAAATTATCTTGTAAAAAATGACCAGAAATCCCATAACCAACAAGGACCTTGCTCATTTCAATATATATTTCATTATATTAAGACATCTTTTGAGATCACATAATTTTTTATGAACACTTCGAAGAAATATTTCTTAAGAGATAACAAATTATTAGGATATTTATTGCCCAACACCGGCTAATTGTCCGATTAAAAGTGTAATTGAGTTTGGTTAACAATATGTGTAGACAAAAAAAAAAAAATCAAACTGTATTCGTTTACCAATATTAACGAGTTGAACTCGAGTCTAATTATATAAAGTTACATTAAAAAAAATCTATTTTTGAGATTTTACAAGCTCAAATTCGGCTCGTTTATTCAATAAGTCTACCTAAGTTAGAGCCTTAGCGAGTCCAGTCGAGCTCACGAATCACTCATTTCCTCTCTCTCTCTCTCATTTCCTCTCTCTCTCTCTCTCTCTCTATATATATATATATATATATGTATGTGTGTGTGTGTATATGTGTGTGTGTGTACGCTCTTATATATGAAAGTTTGATTAATTTGAAAATAGTAAATGTTCTCTAAAAAAAGTCTATTTACTATATCTGGAAATTAATTAATCAATTTATGGTATAAAGTTGCAAAATTAATAAATCAGATTTTTGTACAAAGTAGGCGATTTTATGGTATAAAGTGAGAGATTTATTTGACGTATGTGATGGACATTTTTATTTTTGATTGAAAATGTGGTGCTATTAATAAATCTAATTTTGGTATAAAGTGAGCGATTTTATTGTATAAATCTAGTCGATTTCAATTAATTATATTTACTAGATATAACTTGAATTGTATTTTGTATAATGTGCTGTGCTAACTTCTAAGTAGTTATTTTGATGACGATTTTACTGGACTTGAGGTATGTGATGACAATTATAGTTAAGTATAAAGTAGGCCATTTTAATAATATGTTATTTTGAATTTTAGTTAAATAATTAAATAAGTAACAACTGAATATAATTTAGGAAAAATAGAATATTTTTTAGAACATGATTAAATAACTATTTTGGATATTAGTTAAGTGAATATTAATTAACAGTGTTCGCCTATATTTTTAAAGCTCAATCGCAAGTGTATGACTTCGCTCGTAGCATTTGGTAAGCAAGGTCGTATCCCAAGAGACCAAACAATTAATATATCAAAGACTAGATTATGATAATGTTGACTTTATTTAGACGACCGAATATTGGATAGATTAACTAAACTAAGAAAATATAATCAAAATATAATAAATCATGTACTGAGAATTGACTAGAAAAAAACATAAAACAAATATATGAGAATGATAGATTATAAGACTATGATTTCAATTAACAGTTAGGTTCCTTCAAAATCATCACAACTAAATGTTTCATTTATATGCCCTTTAAGATGATCACAAATTTAGTTTATTATCCCTCTTAAGATCGATAAAACCGTAAATTAAATCATATATACTAGCGTCTCCACTCAAAACACGCAATTCAACTCCAAATAGACCAAAAGATCTAATATTCTCAGAACAACCTACTAATCTCTCGTTTTGATAATTATACTAATAACTGAAAACTCAAAAAGAGTACATCTTGGTGTAAAGACACCACTGGAACCAGAACAATCTGGACTAACCCTCCTTGGAATTACTCAGGCGACCAAGGAGGTATAAACACTCGCAACACAAAAGCTCCATAAAAGAGACACAAACTCCACAGAGAAGACTAGGAACCAGACTCAGCTAGATTAAGCAAGTAAATCGTGTCAAATATTAAAGACCTAATATTGAACTTATCTCTCGAATTACGAACAATATTGTCAAACATGTAAAGGCATTTATCAAGTGCTAAACATGAATAAGAACAAAATGTAATTTGAATAGGGCTGATAAGAAACCAATCAATTATAATTATTCACCCAAAATCCCAACATATGAACCTACTACTAAGTCCTAGAATCAAATAAACTAGCCACGCATGTTCGAAACTAAATACATAGACATATTAAAAATCGACATGATAAATAAAAGTTCAAAGGAAAGAAGAAAGAAAAACTAGGAATTTCGTCGATCTCCCAATCTCCTTGATTTCTTTGTAGTTGAATCTTCTTTGCTTCTCAATTGCTTCTCTTGTGTGTTCTAGGGCTCCTCATCTTGTTTCTCACGTTCTCCCCTCTCAAAATAGGCTAATTATATCTTTTATAGCATCCAAAAGCCTTCTCATTTTCAAAATATGCAAGAAATAAAAAATACTCTGCGCGCACGACACAACCATTTTACCCGTGTCACTAGCCGTATCGTAGCCAGTGTCACATGTAAAGCTTCGAAATATCCCTTTCAGTGTGACATGGCCTCTGGCACGAGCATAATGCTCGTGTCACAAATCTGCACACTACTTCTTGCATGTTTCACCTGTTTCTTTCAAATTTTTTTTTTTTTTTTCAACTTTGCCCCATAAAATCTACAGTTAACGAAGTATTTATATATGGATTTTTTTATTTTTTTTCAACATAAATGTATTTCTTCTTTTCTTTGTTATTTTTTTTGATTTTTTGTTTGACCGGATGTATATCAGATATTGGACTTGTAGTTTTGTG